CGCTGCAGGCCATCACTGCACATTTTTAACCCTTAGCACTGCTTTGGGTGGGGGGTCGCTAAATGTTCCTGTTACCAAGGTTACCAGCTTTTTGTCCATTTGATGCAGACGTTTTTTTTAAAAAGAGTGTGCCCGTTGCAGTGAGCCGCAGACGTTCCTCGATGCATCACGTTGTGATTCTTCTGCTTCACTCCCGTCTGTTCTGGCTCTGCGTCACAGAAACAGCTGAAAGTTTAAATCTGTTTTTCTCTTTCAACCCCTCCCCTCCTCTTTCTCTCCTCGCCTCCTTCCATCTTCTTCCACTTCTGCTTCTATTTCAGTGACGGTGCGTTCACGTCCCTCGGTGCTAGCCTCTAGACGTTGACACTCTGTTGCTACGGCGACACTCTCCAGATGGCAAGTGTCGAGGCAGGACGGGGCTCTGCTGGTCCGAGCACGCACCGCTTCACGTGCACTCGGGGTGCAGACAGCGGCAGCAGAACGCCGTGCTCGCCCCTGTGAGGCGCGGTGTAATAAAGCCCGTGTCACGGCCACGCAGGAAACAATCCCTCCTTTATGCCACCGGGACGTCGTTAATCTCGGCGGAGGTTTACAAATGCGTTCGCTTGGAAGGTATATTTCATACGCCGGCGGCCGACAATGGGGCCATTGTGGCGACGAGCTGTTGCACCCGCTCTGCATTCAGTCAGGACCTTTTGGCGGGCTCTGGATCCACAGCTCATGTCATGGGGGGTGGGGGGGGGGGGTCATCTCCCAGATGAATGTGTTTATCCCGTGAAACACAAAGTAAAATTAAGGCTCCAGCTGTTTATTTATTTTTGCCACAAGGACCCGTGATTTATTTTTTGGGAATGAGTGGACGCGTTCGGCCATTTTTCACCGTTCGTTCTCGTTGCCATTAGTCAAACCTGGAGGCAGATGAATAGCCCGCTGGTTGTTTCTGTGTGCAGCCAGCCGACGAGGCCGGCTCTGCTCTAATTCACTGTTTCCAGAGTTCCTGTGCACGGCCGCCGCAGCTATTTCCATCTGAAAAGTGACGAGCCTTCTCAATAATCCATTAGACTTCCATTAGCTGCGATTTGTGTGATTAGTTCTAATTAATCAGTTCAGTCTGTGGCCTTCACTCCCCCGTGCGCGCCTCACATTTCATTTTTAACCTCATTTCTCAGCTCTCCACCGAGCGAGAGAACGAGGCGACGGCTGAGCGAGAAAATCAAAGAGCGAGCGTCAGGTCTGCCGCCGCCTCGCAGTCCGGGCGCGCCAACGTTCAACAGCCTGAGCGGCTGCTTAAAGTGCATCGTGAACCCGTTTCACTCACCCCTTGGAATTAACGCGGGTTATTTGTTTATTTTTGGTGGTGATTTAATGTTTTTGTGTGTTTTCAAACGAACCAGAGGGGATTGTGAGCGCATGTTGAACACATCTCCAGCCTCTGGTTAGCTCCACTCGGCCCTCTCCTCTGGCGCGCTCGGCATCGATCGGCGCCGGAGCGTTCATCCTTCACTGTAACACAACCTATTGATGTTTGTGGAGCCCTGATTTCCCCTCGGTCAGATACCATCCGCAGTGCCATCGTTAAGTGACTGGGAGCTAAAGTCAGCGGTCCGTCTCCAAACGACCCGTGCATAATGAAGCCCAAATCTTTTCATCAACAGCTCCTCCCCTCCCTGCTGCTGACCTCAAATTAAAATGGAGTTCTTCTGAGTTTGCGGCTGCAGGTCAGCTCATGTACTGAGGTATTATGTGATGATAATCTGTCTTCCTTTCCTCTCTTGTCAGACGTTTTCAGTCGTTGCACCATTGTGACGAATGAAAACTCAATTTATCAGGCGGTCTCCACTCGAGCTCTTCTTCTCCCCTCAGTTTCTACGACTTCTGCTCCTGGATGTGACCTCTGCACTGTTCACTTTATTTTCTCATCTGTTTTAATTCCCTGAATCCCTCCATCCATTCATCTGCTCAGGCGGTCGGAGGCTTTCTTTGTGTCTGCCGCAGGAAGCTGAGAAGCTGCCTGTCACCCCAGAGAGGCAGACCCATCCAGGCAGCTGGAGCTGGCCCGGCTGCTGTCACTCAATCTTCAGACGGGGAGCAGAGGGAGAGGGGGGTTGACACACGATGTGGCTCCCTGCTGTTTAGAAATTCACTTCTAGCAGGCCCAGACAGTCAGCGGTTCAGTTTTAACTTGTAAAATTAATTTTATTCGGCTGTGATTGCTGGAACGTGAAGCACTTCACCTTCAACCAGGCGCTCGCAGTTCGTGGATGACTTGTCATGGCACTGAAAGATCAACCTTGCTTTTAATTATAACCTGTTCCATCATGTGAACTTCATGAGAAGCATCACTCCTGTTTCTTGTGTTGTTTTGGTTTCAAGATGTAAAATAGAGAAGATGAACACATTTATCAAATGATTAGAGTTCACAGTGCACTGGCACAATACATGCAGTTATCACACAACCTGTTTAGATCTTTGGAGCAGGTTTTTGTCCCGTCATGCAGCGAAGAGGGACATTGAAATACCCTCCCTCCGTCCACGTTGTGAGCATAACATGAGAAATTAGTGAAGTTATGAGTTATAATTTAGATCCTTATTTACTGTTTCTTTTTACACTTTATAGTTTTGCTTTTATGGGTGTAACTGGGACCTTAAGTACATAATTTCATTCCACCTTATGTACCACATGTGACGCGAATGACAATAAACTTGACTTGAACTTAAGATTTTCATTTCTGTGTGTGGTGAGGGTGAGCAATGTGGCTCAAATATAATATCGTGATAATTTAGAGCATTCTGACGATATTGATAAATTGTGTGATTAACAACAACAACACCAAAAAACAAATCATATTCATTTCACAAAATTAACTTAACACAATGCTTTGCAGTAATATTACTAATAATATTACTAATAAACTAAAAAACAAGGGTTAATTTTACAGAAATTACTTTATTTAGTCAAGTATTCAGTCTCCAAGTATAAAAACAAAAAAATAAAAATGATCCTTGTGTTTTTAGATTGAAAACGTCTGCACAAAATATAGATCAATAAATCACCACAAAAACTAAAGTGCAGGTGAAGTTTCCCAAAATAACTGAATCAAATGAAGCTTAAGATCTGTTGAGCATAAATGTAACAAAATATATGTTGTCTTTAAATGAGCTCTAACTTCCAGAACTTGTAACAAGGTGATCATGTGACCCTGAAGCTTGTGGTGTTTCAGCTTCCTCTGTTCCTGCACGAATCATTCATTTCTCTGATGCTCTGTCTCTGATCACAGGACTCTGTTCTTCATCCATGGACTCTGGAACTAAGAGACAGACCTGTGTGTTGTTTGTTTTTAGCTAGCTAGCGCAGCTAATCAGCATTACACCAGTACCGACAGGTGGGGGTGGTGCACAGTTTGGTTCTGTAGTTCGGCGCACTCGGTTCTGTTAACGGGGCGGGCGCTTGTATAATGGTGGGAGAAACACTGACACATTTACGTCATGAAATTAGCATATCATGATTTAATTTATTTTCCCGGACAAGCTTTTTTTACCGGTATTATCATGAATGATATGATTATGGCCCAGCCCTCGTGTGTGGCTACGTCTAGGCAGAATAAAGGTCACTGTCACAAATTGGGTTGTCACGTCAAAATCCAAGATGGCCACCACCATATTTATGTATATATATATATATATATATATATATATATATATATATATACATAAATAAATATAGATAGATAAATATAGATATATACAGTGCCTTGTGAAAGTATTTGGCCCCCTTGACCTTTTCAACCTTTTGCCACATTTCAGGCTTCAAACATAAAGATATAAAATTTTATTTTTTTGTGAAGAATCAACAACAAGTGGGACACAATCGTGAAATGGAATGAAATTTATTGGATGTGTCAAACTTTTTTAACAAATAAAAAACTAAAAAGTGGGGTGTGCAATATTATTGGGCCTCTTTACTTTCAGTGCAGCAAACTCACTCCAGAAGTTCAGTGAGGATCTGTGAATGATCCAATGTTGTCCCAAATGACTGATGATGATAAATAGAATCCACCTGTGTGAAATCAAGTCTCTGTATAAATGCACCTGCTCTGTGATAGTCTCAGGGTTCTGTTCAAAGCGCAGAGAGCATCATGAAGACCAAGGAACACATCAGGCAGGTCCAAGATACTGTTGTGGAGAAGTTTAAAGCCAGATCAGTTTTGTTGTGTGTTTCCTTGACTGATGAAGTCTTCTGGATCGAAGGCGAAACGTTTCAGCACAAAAAAAAGAAACTGTCCGGATGACCTGACTGAAAAACGTTGGTTTTCTCACACTACTTTGTGCACACCACAGCACACATTTTATTTCAACTAATTAAAGTACCTCTGAGCAGTCAGTGTCTTACCTGCAGCAGACAGGAGTCAGAGGGACTTAAGTTTGAAGAATTGTGGGAAATCTCTACTGGGGAGTGACGTTAGAATAGATTCCCATCATTTCACACAGCTCAAACAACGCACCGTGAGTGGATTTTATTTAGTATAAATAAGCACATTCTCTGTAGATGAGTTTGATGTGGAATAAAAGTTAAAGTAAAGCCTGACCTGTTCTCCAGACTTTTAAAGACTTGAGTAGTTTTAGATGGTGGAAATTCAATTTTAGGTTGACCCTCTGGAGTTCTCCCTGATTCTCCAAACTGAGATCATTCTGTTCTCTATCTGCTGCAGAGAAGATACTGACTGCTTATACTCACTTAACATAACCAGCTTTTAAATAAAATTTAAAAAATGAACAGTTCCTTTAAAACGTTTCAGCAATCAGACATGATTTATGAACAGCAAATAAAACGCAAAGGTCGAACTTTTTAAATCTTTTTCCATCTTGTAGTTTTTATTTAGTCATAAAGTGTAAAATAAAAGCCCGTTGTGTTTATTGCTTCTGGACATGCTTGTTGATGTATGCCATGATAATAATAATGGAGTGACTGATGCTAATGTGACCCCCCCGTGTCTCTGCAGGACTCCGTGGTTTAACGGCTGGGGGTTCAACCTGCCTCGGGGTCAGTCTCTGCTGGATAAATGGAACCTCGTCCCCGAGGGCATCGACATCCTGATGACCCACGGACCTCCGCTCGGTGAGTCCAATTAACCAATCACAGCCCCTCGTTGTTCTACGAGCCCAAGTTGTGCCTCATTATTCCAAGTCTGGCTGAAGCAGCTCCACGGAGCCAGGTGTGTGTGGGACCGAGAGCCTTCAGCACCTTGTCAACACTGTTTTCCATCTAAACTCAATATTGGTGTTTGATTTTATAAAAAATGTACATATGTTAGATTTTATTTAGGTTTTCGTCGCAGCGTGATTAGAATTTCCTCCTGGCTGTTTGGGTCCCAGTTGTTTTTTCTTCTCCTCTCTTGCTTGCTTTTTATTTATTTATTTTCTCCTCGGCGCTCTCCATCTGGCTTTATTGAGTGATTTCCTTCGCTTTTTGCCTACGGAGAGTTGCTGCTGCTTCTGGAGCAGCCGCTGTGGCTGTTTGATTGCATGGAAACTCGATTTTGCAGCAGTGTGACAGACACTGCAAACGACTGGAGAGGGAGCGTACAAGAGGATGGCAGTGCTGGGGGGGTGGGTGGGGGGGACTAGGAAGACCGACAGTAAGGAGGGGGAGTCGAGGCTGCTCAAGTCTGGAAGAGACATGAGGAAGGGGGTTCATCTGAGTTTAGATTAAAAGGCAGGCATGGGGGTTTCTCCAACATGGCTTAGTTTTTGAGCTTCTGGTTTAGAAAAGTCATTAAATGTGTAGAAACAGGAAAAAGTCCCGGTAGAATCTATAAACAAACTTGATGCAAACATTTGTCACAACTGTGACCTAATAAACATGTTGACAGTCACTATTTTATATATATATATATATATATATATATATATATATATATATATATATATATATATATATACACATTTTTTTTAATGTATATATTTTTTATATATTAGTATTTATATATTTTAAGGCTTTATAAACACTTCCCACACTCTGCAATGTTCTGAACTCTTAAGCCTACGTCATTTTAACAACATATGTACAGTACTGTATATGTAGCTACTAAATTTTACTCGGGGTGGTGGCAGTGGGCTCCAGGTGGAGCGCCGGACCTACTGCAGCGCACGTCCCACTCAAAAGTCCTTGTGGGCCAGCTGCCAGCGCTCAAGATTCACAGATGGGTCTGGAGGTCCAGTTCTGGTCCAGTTCTGGTCTGGTTCGGTGGGTTCCAAGCGGCTCTGCATCCGCTGGGCACCAAAGTCACTGTAACAAATGCCAAACTTTTTCGGATAAGATCCAAACATTCCCTCTACGTCTTTCAGCAGAAGAAAATGAAGCTTCTGGGTGGGGCACTGTTGGCTTCTGGGAAATGTAGTCTTTCTGAGCGGGGATACGGTGTAGATTTATTCAAAGAAAACTACAAAATGGCAGTGCCTGTCTGAAGTATTTATTTTTTCTAAAACTTTTTACTGTACAGTATCCCGTACTACAGTCCCAATCACGTGAGTAATATTAAAGTTGACAATCATGTGTCCTGTACAAGTTTTTTTCTTTTGTTCAATCTTACTTTGAAAATCCGCGAAAGAGCGAGTCTGCGAAAGTTGAACCGCCAAGTAACGAGTGACTACTGTAATAGTTATGTAGAGGACATTATGGACATGATATGCCATGAGCAGCGAGTTTAATAAAAACTGAGAAAGCTGAAATTTCCCCTTTAAGAGAAAATTTTGTGTTTGGTCGACTGCCATGTACTCCCTTTAAAAGAAAATGGAAACAAAGAACTGTCGTCCTCTTTTATTAACTTCACACAAATGACAAACTAAACTAGACCCAGATCAATTTATTTATTTTAAATTAATTATACTTATTGCACAGAATATTACAGATTTTATGTGGTTGTGCTCTGTGTAAGGTGGATCACCTGATAAGCTGATCTTGGTTAATAATTAGCTGCTTAGTAGCGTCTGCAGAGAGCCTGCATAGGCTGTATGTATTTCACCTGCTAATATGCTAACTGTTGTAGCTTGTAACAAACGCTTGTTTCTAAATAGTATAAACATTGTATTCTTTTTAATGAACAAAGAAGTTTAGAGCAATTCCCCCTCAACTACACCTAGGAACAATAGGTTCAGTAACAGAGAAGGGAAATACTTTTTTTTATTTAATTGTATTAAATATGCCCTGTCTTATCTCCTCTTTAAGCAATTATATCTTCTTCTTCTTTTGGCTTTTCCCTCGTCAGAGGTCTCCACCGCAAGTCATCCGCCTCCATCTCACTCTGTCCTCATTCCAACTACCTCCATGTCTTCTCTGACTGCATCCACATATCTGATCCCCCTCCACCTGTGGAGCATATCCACTGACAACATTTAGCGTCAGACCTTTTACTTCTACCATCAGACACATCACACTATCTGACACTCTTTTCACCTCTACTACATTCTTTGCTAACTCCTCCTTCAGGACCACCCCTACTCCATTTCTCTTTCTATCCACACCATGGTAAAACAGTTTGAACCCTGAGCCAATGCTGTGAGCATTGCTGACCTTCCACTTGGTCTCTTGGACACATAAAACATCTACCTTCCTTCTCTGCATCACGTCAGCCAGCTCTCTACCTTTGCCTGTCACTGTCCCACGTTTAGAGTGTCCATCCTCAGTCCTTTCCTCTTCTCCCTCAGTCTCCTGACACGTTTCCCTCCTCGTGGCACACTATTTGTCAACAGCACTGGTGGCTGGTTGTTAACCCGGGCCTCAACTAATCCTGTATGGTGTCACTTTGATGAACTCGCATTATAGTTTTGACAAAAGTGTTTTACGTCAGATGCCCTTCCTGACACAACCCTCACCATTTACTTGTGCTTGGGACCAGCACAACAGATGCACTGGCTTGTGCTCCTTAGTGGCTGGTTAGAAGCATTTACTGTGTACCTAGTGGTGCTAAAAGTTATATTTGAATTAGTTTAAGTGTGCAGCTGCTCACCGTGCTAACACTAAAACATATTCAGTAATCGAAAAGAGCAGATTTTCATTTGATGCATTGAAATATATGAGACTGAAGTTCAGAGAATAAATAAGTGCACCTTCAGTGAATGACAGACTCTGAACCAGACGTTAAATTGATTTAATGTTGGGATTTCAGCAGCACTTGAGTTGACTAAAGCTGCTTGAAACTGTACGTACCTTTTTGTAGTTAATACAAATTCAATATATTCATTTTATATTTAATGATGACACCTAGCAAGGCCATACTGAATTTCTGAATCTGCATGGGCCCAAGAAGCTAATCGACAAGTTTCTCGCAGAATAAATCAATTATCCCTTACATTTTTCAGACAGTGAGGTAATTAAGATGGTTTTGTCTTAGTACTGACAGTTTATATAAGTGTGATCTGTGCTGGCAGACTGAGTCACAATGAAGAAATGCTCAATATAGAGGGTTTTTACATTCATCTTCTCAAAACCTTCACAATGATACATTGTTGTTTGGTTTTTTATTTGTGAGTTTATAACCTGGCAACAAGATAGTTTTGTTCCAGTTTGAATAGTCAAGGTGTTGTTGTTGTTGTTGTTGTTGTTGTTGTTGTTGTTGTTGTTGTTGTTGTTGTTGTTGTTTGAAGGGGGATGCCTCAGCTTCACTGTAACACCAACCATTATACGGAGGGATCCAGCTGTCAGCAGAAAATAAATAAATCCATTTAAAGTAATTTATAAGAGTTTAAAGACAAAGCATTATTTCTGAAAATATACCTGTCAGAGAACTTTGGTTTAAAGGTTGATTATAAGGATTATAAACTATTCTGGTTGCTGGGATCAATAGATGGTGTCTTTATGGATAAATTATCACCACAGTCTAAATGACAGCAACAATCAGTATATCCCTTACTCAGCACCGCAGCCTGAACTCTTTCACGTTTTGCCACTGGGGGGTCACATATTGTGTTAAGATCGTGACACATTTAGGAAACGTGTGTTTGCTTTTGATTTCTCAACTTTTATTAAAATAATCAACAAACAGATGTTATGAATATGTTTGCAGGTTTCAGAGACTGGGTTCCTAAAGAGCTGCAGCGGGTCGGCTGCGTGGAGCTGCTTAACACGGTCCAGAAGAGGGTCCGACCCAAACTTCATGCCTTCGGAGGCATACATGAAGGTACTGGAAACTTTGCAAACCTTTATCACGTTCAGAACCGTTCAGAAAGAAAAAACTAAACTTACTTTTCTTTTGGATGAGAGACGAAACGTTTCTACCTTTTTTTTGTTTGTTTTGCTTTGTTTTGTTTTTTGAATGTCCAGAGGACCAGACTTAACGTTTTTGGATTTTTCTACCTGGATTATTGAGCATGCATCAGGATACTTTTCCTTACTGTTGCACAAAGTAGGACATTTCTTTCTGTGACAACAAAAACCTAATATGAGATTGGGTCGTACTCAGAGTTCTGTAGTAATCATGAAATCATTTGAAAATGAGATTCTTGGATCCAGTTCGTCGGTCATGCAGAACCACAATCTTTGTTCTGATCAGAGACCTTGACATTTAAAGATGGGCAATAATTTTTGACATTTTAAGGTACAAGAAGTAATATTTTATGTGACTAGTCTGTATAATCAAAACCATGGGTGTGACATCAATTATATGTGACGGGGACATGTCCCCCTCATAGTTAAAAAATATTGGTTTGGACATCCCCCCACACACACACACACACACACACACACATTTACCATGAAATATTAGTTCACCCTGTTTCTATTGCTTCATGAACAAATCCATCCCACTTGATTAATAAGAGAATACTCGAACCATTAAAAATCCACTCCAGGTTTTCCTGGTTACCTACAACAACTCACCACACGGCATGCAGTGGTTCCTCGAGGTCACTTGCTCTCATCTCTCTGGGGGTGTTTTCTGTGGACGGAGCGCGGGGAGGAGGGGGAGACACCATTGTGTTTCACGCTAGATTAGTGCTATGTTAGTGCCGGCAGTTATTGACTAGGATGGGAGGGGGTTAGGAAGCGTGAGAGAAGCAGAGCACTATGTCTGTAGCATCTTAGCTAGCATGTCTGTATTGCATGCCGTTAGCTTAGCACTGCATTAGTACCAGCAGTTATCGACCAAGGTAGGGGGCAGTTAGGATGTGTGAGAGAAGCAGAGCGTGCTCTATTCACACAAGGAGAGCTGTTGGTCAGGCTACTTCTTATTGCTCTCTAAAATAGTTATTGAATCAAGTGTTTATACATGTACGTAAACATAGACGTTTAACAACCCATTAAAATACACCAGAATGCAGGAAATTGCATCTACTTTATTCAAAGTTTTCTGGGGGAGGACCCCCAGACCCCCTACCCACCCACTAGTGTGCCCACCCCCCCATACAAATTTTGCTGACTAGCTCTTTCCCAGTTTTTCAAAATAAGATTGGACATGACACGCAATTGGCATCTATATATTTAAAATTCCATGTTTTTCTTCATCATTTGATGTATTTGCACTCATTGTGTCTACTTTTATTTTTCAATTTAGAAATGTGGCTTTGTTCCTTGTATACAGATTATTTTATTTTAGCTTTGATTTAAAGTGTAATTCTTGTTTTGTGATGTGTACATCTGTGGGTTAGAATAAAGTTGAACTAAAGTCTGTAGCTCTTCTTTAAACATATTTGAGGGAAATATTCCTGAGAGATCCAATAATTTTGTCTTTTTATGATTTTTCAACGGATTATTTAATAAAGTCAAACTGAAAACAGGATTTCATGATAAAGCTGGCACGTTTATTTATTTTTAATCTTCACTGATTTAAAAAAAAACATTATTTTTTATACATAAAATGTTTTTTTAAAAATGTTTCCACCCTCTGTCCCAAACCCGTCCCGGTCCACCCGTCTGCCAGGGCTCAGATTCCAGCCTTTGTGAGCACGCGAGGCCGAGGCCCAGACCCTGGCCTCGCGTGCTTCAACAGGTCGGCAGCTCGTATAATCTTCCACGGTGACTCCACTTGCTCTGAATTTTGTCGTCGGTCACCAAACAAAAAAACGCCTGCACTTCAGCGTTAAACACGGTGTTGTCATTATTGTTTTTAAATTCTTTAAAATAGACCCAGCCGCTGCTCCAAGTTCAGAGTAATTGCAAATGGCGGATCGGTGTTTTGAAGCGTTTCTGAGAGCTCCAGTGACTCTGCCCCGACCAATCAGTGACCGACAGTGTTCTGACGTCACGTTTTGCTACCTGCTCGGCCCGGTTGGAACCACAGAGCCAAGGGTTCTGAAAAAAGGGACCAGTTCTACGTACCGTTACTAATGGAAAAGCCTTGGAACCGTGCTGAGTTGAGTCGTGCTGGAAAAGGGCATGAGTGTGCTGTACTGGTGCAGAGTTCTCACTAAATGTGTAATTCAGTACATTTACGTCTGCGTTTAAAAAACATGTTTTAAGTTAATTCTGCACTGTTTTTATGTATCGGATCGGTATCGACTGATACTAAACACCAGGTATCGGAAGTGAAAAAGTGGATTGGTGCATTTTTACTAAAAAACATTCCAGTTGCTCAACACTGAATGAAATGAGTTGGATGAGTGAAATAAACAAGTGGTAATTGATGAAAACTTCACTGTTTCCTGTCCCAGGTTATGGGATCATGACGGACGGCTACACGACGTTCATCAACGCGTCCACCTGCACCGTCAGCTTCCAACCCACCAACCCCCCCATCGTGTTCGACCTGCCCAACCCCTCCAGCTCCTGAGACCAGAAGACCGGGGCTGAGGACTGTCTCAAACAAATAAACTACTTCTTTTCTATAAATATTTCGATTTTTAAAAAAAAAAAGTGTTTCTTTGCGGGAAGGGGGGAGGTCGTCTGGGAGCTTTAAAGGAGAATACCGGTGTTTCGTTTTTCTTTTCTAAACTGTGCCAACGGTGCAGGTTTCCTGCTCAGACCCACAGAGTGTGGAAAACAATGAAGGAGGCGAGTTAATCCATGAAGAAGCCTGCTTTGATCAGGTAAGAGTTTTACTGTCAGCCAGTCTTCGTCTCACGCTCCTTCGTCTCCTGTCAGCTACAGGAAGAGCTGATCCTTTAAAAACACGATGCCTTAGTGCAGAACGCCAGACGGAAGCAGAGGAACAACCTCTGCAACTTTTCACCACAGCAAACAACAGAATGTTTCTGTTCACGTGAGTCGGGCTCACACCAGTATTCTCCTTTTCTCTGAGGTTTTGTGGTTAAACAATCTTGCTCTTGATAAATATTGGTCAGAACTGTAAAATAATTGATGCTTTGTGAATTTGTACAATTGCTTTACGTTTGGTTTGGCCAGACGATATGTTGTCTCATGTTTATTTTAGTCTTTTTGATTTCTCGTCAGTTCTTTTTTTTTTGGCTGACAGGGACGCTGCCTTAAACTAGCTTTAATGTTCTCAGCTAGAGCCCCTCTCTCTGCAAGCTCAGAGGAAAGTCCTTATTTATTACCCATCATCCCCGCAGAACAACACCTGACCAATGCAGGGACGGAAAGCTATCAGTTACAGCCAGATTTTTTTCACTTTCCATCACCCCTTCATGGATCTCTCATCTAATTTGGAAATGTGTGTATAAAAATATATAAATTATATAAACATCTGTACGAAAAGTTATTTGACGGAAGAAAAAAGACTAAAAAGGTGCATTTTTTCCTTGTATCTTTAACGCTCTCATCAAACGTTCATTGCGATTTTTTTTTGTTGTAACAACTCTTTATGTAGGAGTTTATTTTGAATGAGAGGAAAGTTTGTCGATCACAATCCAACAGGTGCTGCTTGTTCTCAACACACCTGCCTAAACATGGAGACGATGTCCTTTAAAGTGTAATCTGATAGTATTTGTGTTGCTTTTTTTTTTTTTTCAATTTTGCACTGTGTGTAAATGCAATCTTGCTAGCACAAAAAAAATGTTGCCAATAGTTGTTTCAACTCGTCTTCGACAGCTGTAAATGCTCTTTCTGTGCTCTGTTCCTCTCTCGCTCTTTTTCTCTGATTGTATCCCTCTTCATGGAAATGTTAGTTCTCTTTCAGTTTATTGTGATATATTTAGCTGCCTTTATATGCAAATAAAATTGCAAGATTTTTACATATGAAACTGCTTTTATTTTTCTGGACGTATCGCGTTGTTGGCAGACCATCAGATTCCTCCTGCGGTCAAGTCGAGGGGGTCAACAGGTTCAGGAGAGAAACCCAAACATCCCTTTCCCAAACACCACTCCTGGGGGGATCCCAAAACCCAAACATCCCTTTCCCAAACACCACTCCTGGGGGGATCCCAAAACCCAAACATCCCTTTCCAAAACACCACTCCGGGGGGATGCCAAAGAGGATGAATAATTTCTCCTGTGAGGTCTGGACTTTCTTCAGGGTCTCCTCCCTGTGGGATGTGCAGCAGGTGTCCAGGAAGCATCCTGATCAGATGCTCAGACCCTCTCGGCTCAGCTTCTGATGTGAAGAAGCTCTTTTCCATGCCAAGCAAGTGATAACGAGTGGATTCCAGCAAAAACACAATGAACACACAAGAACTACACAATAAATAGTCGGGGGGGACAAAGTAGGCTTTGTGTCTGAAAATAACCGTTTTCTCCGAGGGAATGGACACACTTAAGAACTTTTTTCTAAATTGTTTACCCTCCTGTTTTCTTCTGCTTATTTGTGGTTGAGTCATGGAGGTAGAGCCCAGGAGGAGAACCCAGATCTTCCTGACCCCAGCAACAATCTCCAGCTCCTCCTGATGGTGCTCCCAGGCCAGAGAGGAAATATAATCGTTCCAGGACGTGTTCTGGGTTGTCCTTGGGACCTCCACCCAGTTGGATGTGCTCAGACATAACTACCTCTGCTGGTTCCTTTTGATGTGGTTGAGCGGTGGTTCTACTAGAAAATCTCCTGGGTGACAGAGCTCCTCACCTTCTCCAAGCTGAGCCCAGCAAAACTATAGAGGGAGCTCATTTCAGCCGCTTGTCTCAGTTACGGCGCTTTTTGTTCCTAATCCATGTTTTATGAACGCAGGAATGTTGGAACATTTAAATCAAGAGGTTCATCTTTCAGCACGGCTTTCTTCCACCCAGAAGAAGACGGATGGCAGCAAGACTTTTGTTACTGTGAGGTCCATGTCCTGCTCAATCTTACCATCACTCGTGAACAAACTCCTGGACATAAAATTAAGTCAGGTCCTCTGGACGGATTCTTATTGAAATGTTTCGTCTTTTATGAGAGTGAAGAAGGATCCTGATGCATGCTCAATAATCCAGGTAGAAAAATCTAAAAGTTAAATCTGGTCCTCTGAACATTCAAAAAACAAAACAAAGCAAAACAACAACAAAAAATGTAGAAACGTTTCGTCTTTCATCCGAGAGACTTCCTCAGTCAGGTGCTGTTTTCAGCTCAGTCTCTTAAATAGCACCTTCTCAGAGTGGATCAACCAGTTTGCTGCTGACAACCAAAACCAGCTGATCACATGCTCAAGAAGGACCATCAGCCTAACAATGGATCATTAGCACCTGATGGCTGTTTACTATTCACAGAGGGCTGAGTGATACTAGCAATCACAGCATTGTAAGAGGGGGACAGTTGAACCCGGAGGCATCTTCATCCCTGAAAGAGTGACCGCTGGCCTGGAGATGAGTGTAGACCGCAGAGTCCTGGCCTGATGATGTTGATCTTCTGTGCTGGGCCATCCTTTTGGCCAGTGGCTGTTTTGTTTCCCCGATGTAAGACAGATCACAGCCCTCCTGACACTGAACAGCATACACAACATTACTCTGTTTGTGCCGGGGGACTGGATCTTTGGGATGAACCAGTCTTTGCCGTAATGTATTTTGGGGTTTAAAAGCCACTGGGACGTTATGTTTAGAAAATAAACGTCTCAGTTTCTCTGATACTCCCTCAACATACGGAATGATGACTGATGAAGTCTTTTGGATAAAAGATGAAACATTTGAACAAGAAGAATCCATCCAGAGGACCTGACTTAACTTTGTTGGATTGTTCTACCTTGATTACTGAGCGTGCATCAGGAAACTCCTGGACACCTGAAACTTTCTGCTTGAGGCAGGAAGTCAACCCAACCTGGAGGGAGCTTTTCTCCTTTATATACACCCATCGAAGGCGGGACATATTCTGGTACAGCAAGTACGAAAACTGGCTCGTCCCACTCATAACTTCTGATCTGCTCAAGATAATTTAACAAAACTTTATACACATATGCAACATCACTAGGCGGAGTAAATGGTAAATGGACTGTACTTATATAGCACCTTTCTATCTTATTTCAAGATACTCAAAGTGCTTTACACTACAATCTGTGTCCTCATTTACCCGTTTATACAACACTACTAGATCTCTACAAAGCTAATTGAACAAATCATTCTAATGAGACGAATCAGATCTTTATCACATTCATTCACCGATGGGACACACATCAGAGGCATTGAGGGGTTCAGTGTCTTGCCCAGGGACACTTCGACATGTGACTGCTGGTGGATTCAAACCCCCAACTCTCACATTGGAGGACGACTGCTCTAACCACTCAGTCACAGCCGCCTGAGTGTCGAATACTTTTTCATATCCCTAGCTACAAATTCAAGGTTAAATATTACACAAGGTCTTTGTCCTGGCAGTTGCTATAGATTGCTGTATTGCTGCATAATCATTTGTTGACAGGCATACAATGTGCCGTAGGTGGTGTACTAGTTTCCACTTGACAACTGTGGCCTCGGAGTTCGAGGAGCTGAGTCTTGTCTGGGCTGCAACCTGCTCCAGTGTAGAGTTGCTTTCGGACCCCACCCGACCCGATGAGTTAACTGTAATTACAGGTCCAAACCAGACCCCCACCCTGACATTTTTTTAAGCTTTGACTGCTTATATAGTTGTTAATGGTTGACGGACACACGCAGCTGAATAAAGTGGGCAGAAGATCAGAGCTGAGGGGGTGTTTGTCCTTTCATGGCCATTAAAGCACATTAAATCCCTGCTTCTGCCTGCATTCTGCATTATTCAGACATGGATCCTGCTCTGACATGTCTGATATTTTGGGATCTCACCTGTTTGGGTCGTCGGCTGCACGCGTCCACTGAGTGCAGCTGAATCTTTTTTAACTTACACCACCACCTTCTAAAGGAAAGAACAAAGGTGTCTCATCTGTTTGAATGTCTTTCTTTACTTTAACTGAACTTTTTACCGCTTTCAAGGCCGGTCAGCTCGCGGTGCGGTCAAATGGCCGCGTGCGGCAGGTAAAGTATGGCAAGCCATGTTGCCATATAATTGGATCATCAGGCGTGCGCGTCCGCTGACGCAATAACAGACCCGGCCCACACATTATTATGGTCTAACCCAGCCCTAATCTGGGTCGGGCCGGGCTCAGGTTAGAAATGACAGCTCTACTCCGGTGTAACATTAAGGTCAAGGTTTACAGATGCCAACAGAACCACATCGTCTGCAAACAAGCAAACATAAGGTGTACAACCTGAAATTCTCCTCTAGACTGCTTTGACATCTAAAACAGGATGAGTGGTGACGGGAAGCCCTGGTGGGAGTCCAACCACCAGGAAAAGTTGCACAATAACCTTAACCCGAGTATGGGGAACGAGCTCGACTTCACACCAAGAACACCTTGAATTCATTCAAAATATCTAAATGGTTTATCAAGTTTTTTTTTCTTTTGCAGCGACCTGGAAAACATAAAGTTGAGCTAAAACCATCTTCAGAAATGTGCTACTCTTCATCTC